TGACATTGCTATGGATCGAGTCGAGCCAGATTGCCATATTAGATTACTATTGCACCTTGACAAGTCAGCCGTGGAAGATCTAATGTGACACTGTCCGAGACTCCAGCGGGTGTACATACAACATCATTGGGATTGGGGGCATTTCCTCTCAACTATGAGCCCTGTACCATGTGGAGGACCCCCCGCATAGTTAATCTGGATGCAGCTCAGCCAAACTTCCAATGCATGGTGATGAGGATTGAGGGCTTCTAATTACCCCTGTAACCGTTACAATCCAATAGCTGAGGACGCCGAGATTTTCTATGTACCACGTACATGGACATATCACTTTTTCCAAGGACGAGGGCTGGGCTACCTTGAGCTCTTTGCCACCTGTTGTTGGGTTTGAAGAAAGGCGGCACAAAACGTCTTGATGTGATTATGTACTTTCATACCCAAGCATTGAACCGTAACCTGCGTGGAGGTTCATTCAGCTGGGGACTTCAACGCACATGTCATTGAGGACAACACCGCCGCCGTTTCTCTGGGCTATTATTACTGTGCGGGATTGTTTGCGAGACCCCCGAGTCCTGTTTCCTCCCCAAGACAGCCTGACCGCAAGATAATTAGGCATTCCTCATCTTTCTGGAACCCTGAGTCGTTGCGAATCCGACCATTTCTCCCATCCTGTGGGTATTCCTTCAATCCGGGTCCTCCAGTTATCGCTTGGCAAACTGACTGCAGGTGGTGGTAGTACATGGGAACATTTTGCATCCACTCGAAGTGCTACTGTTGACTGGTTGCGGAGTACACGAGAGAACAGAACTACTAGGGTAGTTAAATGCTGCCCCGTATCAGAAGACACAGCCGCATTTTTTGGGTTCATTGGTATTGGCCGTCGAATTTTCAACTCTTGATATCCTGTATTCGGCGGGACATGTGCCTCAGCTATTCCGACGAGGATTGTTCTGTTCACTGGAATGCGTGTCAACAGTATCTATCTAGTATTGTGCAGCCCCGAATCAACTGACACCCAAGGCACCTACCTACCTAGGTAGCTATGTAGGTAGGTAGGAAGCTAGCTTGGTCTCCGCTACTCACACTATAGGTGGTCGCTCATTGTAGGGACCATGCAAATAGTGCATGCTCAGCAGGCGTCGCCCCTGGCCGGAGAGGAGTGTGGTGATTTGGAGGCTGCCGGGTTCAACACCGACTGATTGACTCGGGAGCCCAGTTCTGCCCTCGTTGGTTACAGAGTAGCTTAATCCGGGAAAAGGCACACGGCTCGAAGACTGTTCCACAAACAACACGTTTTGGTAGGGGTGATAGAGCTTTGTCACCGCCCGGCACAACGACCTAGGTACGTAGTTGACCGAATGGCGACGCGAGCAACACGATAAACAGGGACTTGAAGCATTTCCACGAGCTCATCTCCCACCGAAAGCACACGAAGCAATCACAATGCGGCTTACGTGTATACATATTGCCCGATGCCACAATAGTAATGCCTCAACTAGCCTGCCGTGACCCCTGATAGACGGCAAAGAGATTCGCAGTCCAAGACAAAGCAAATCGAAATGGCATGGATTCATCACGGACCCTGCTTTGTGCGCATACTCGGGAAAGTGAAGGCATATTTCTGTCACAGCACGGGCTTATCAACAGGGAAGCCATGCGCCGAATGGATTGCATGGACCACAGGACGGATGAATAGTACTGTGTACTATGGAGCACGGAGTAGGTGCAGTTTGGAGCAACATGTGGCAGGGGCAGGGCGCGCAAACATTCCTCTCCACCTCCCAGTTCATTGCAACATGTTAAGCCTGCAGTTCTCGTACATTGTACGGAGTACGGCGTCTTTTTCTCATCGGCTCTGAGGCGTAGGGAGGCGGCTTTGATTGCCGATTTCAATCCATTATCTCCCAAGTTGCTCCTACGGGGTACCGCCAACCTCTCCCCCCCTCATTCCAGGATCTTGATGCCAAAAAACAAGAGCAAAAAGCTAGGGAGCGACAGAGCAACTAGAACTCTGCCAGAGAGATCAGGAGGCCAGCCCAGGAATAGTCCCCCCCTGTCGGGCTCCACCGACCTCGCTGCTTGTGTTGGGGAGCCCGGAGGCTGTCTAGGACGCATCTCCGTGGCCAGAGCTCTTCATCGGCGACGTTTGACAAGACGGGCGATTGATGTACGTACTGAGGTGGGAGGAAGGTTGAATATTGGGCTCCGCGGGCCTTGTCAAAATATGGGTTAACTCAAGTGAGGGGTGAGCAGATGCTTTTGCTAAAGTATATCCACTACCTACTTAGGTATGTACACAGCATTGTATGTATGGTATGTATGGTATTTAGGTGAGTGAGTACTACTCAGCACCTAGATGTACGGACAGTATTTGAGAGTTGCTTCATTCGTATTGATTCTGATGCCAGCCCAGGCAGACACCGATGCAGACACCGATGCAGACGCGGACGCGCAGACAAGAAGGTTGACGACAGCAACTGGCACGCTGGTAGCGAGAGTCCGTCCTCAGCGAAGACTCAAATTGGGGCATGGATGTCAACGGTATGGTAGTGAGTACGGAGTACATGTCAATACCTGACTGACTGCACGCTCGCACACCACGGCATGAGATCCACTGTCAAGGTTTGCGAGGTCTCTCAGGTCTCTCAGGTCTCCCAGGCCCAGACCTTGCCTCCACCCCCCTTCTGCTAAGGACAGTCCACTCTGCTGCACCCCCCGGGCTGTCCGGCTCTGGCTCTGGGTCTCGCTGTTCAGCCCTTCGGAGCTAGTATCAGTAGTCTCTCTGGTGGTTGCTTGACGTTCTGGACAATTGGGAGGACGACCTGGGGGCCTGTATCTGTACTTTGGCATCCCGTCGCAACCCATGTCCTGTCAAGGACGCTAGCACCCAAACGACACCCCCCCGGACCGTCTCTGGTGTCTGGACGCTTGTCGTCGTCGTCGGTCAGCTAAGTCTACGAGAGAATGTCGTGTGTACCACCCGGCTTCCGGGGGCAGGGGCTGGTAAAGGGACGCAGAGAAGAGAGATTGAACCAGGGTGAGATAAGTATGAAGTACATGCGTCCAATTGAGACCTGGCACCTTCAGCTCAAGAGGGTGAGCAAAGATATATACATTGTGTGTGACACCCGCAAGTTCCAACATTTCATTTTCTGGATATTCCACACTCGGTGCTTGCCTCTGTCTCTTTTCCTTTTGTATTTGATTCAAGGCAGTAGAGGCACGGAACAGACTTCAACTCGAAGCGCTGTGCGCATCCAGTCACCTCTCATATACCTTTGTACCTATTACCCAAGGTTCCAAAAGAGACACCGAAAACCTTAAAAACAGCATCCCATATCCGGTCGAGGATACAAGTTTTTCTCTCTCTCTCTCTCTCGGAGCGTTATTCGGCCCAGAATTACGATAGTTTACGACTCAAGGGGGAGCACAAGCGACGGCAGAAATCCTTGGGCTTTGGAGCGAAGTGTCGAGATAGTAGTGCAACCTGCGAAGAAGAGTGCTCCGCCGTCGAATCGCTCACTCATCATACCTTTGGGTTGGACATTGAGCATACAAGTTGCCGCAACGTGAACCGCCAACGCAGGGCTTGACTTCTCATCGCCGACAATCTGGCGCTACGTCTAAAAGGCAACCAAGACCCGGGCAGTGTCGGTAGGATCCTCAGCTGTCATCCCCTCTCGCTCCTGACATCTTGATTTTCGACCTGGGGACATTGCGACCCTCGACTCTTTGCTCGTGGGGGTCTCATCGCGCTTGCACCCGAACACACCCCTCTCTCCCTCTCTCCAAGCAAAACTCAAGGCAAGAGGCCCAGACGGATCCGCCAAGTGGATTTTTTGACGTCTTTTTGAGTTCGGCTTGGACGACTCGCCATCGCAGCCTTTTCACCTCAGAGCCGCACAGTCTCTGTGGCCAGTCAGTCTGTCCTGCGAGCATAGCACGTCTTGGCCAAGTCAATCGACTCCCTCAGCTCCAGACTTGGGCCGTCGGTTTTTGCATACCAAACAAGACAGGCATCCACGCCTCCAAGTCCCACTCCCGTCAACCAGGGTCAGCCCCTCCGCCTGGCGGCACGATACTCGAGAGTCGAGTCTGGCCGTTCCCGGACAGTCAAGTCGTCTTGTCTCGCTCTTGTCCTAGTCGGCTGTTGACTTCTACGACCTCTTTCCATACTTGGGTCGCTCCTGCTCTTGCTCTCGCGAGTTTGCGCTTCGGTTTGACTTTTTTTCCATCCCCCGAAATACTGCGAACGGACCTTCTTGGTATTCCGTCTCCCGACCTGTCTGGGTTCGCCTAGTCAGCCTACTTGACGAACTTGGCAGGTTTATTGCTATTCGCGTCTCGCTACCCTTCACGGGAAGAAAGTAATTACCTACTTCACAATACGTTTCTGCGCTTGTCCAGGCGACTACAGGTGAAGACCTGCGACCGGCCTGCAACCTTGATTTTAAACTTCTGCGACGGGCACAAACTAAGGCAGTCGCTGGCGCTCTTCTCAACTTAGACCACCTCACCCACTGCTCTTTTTTTTTTTGTTTTCCATCTTCTGGGCTAGTGGCACGCTTTCAAAGACGAATTATTTCAATCCCGGACCAAGTTTCCCGTTCTCCCAGTCTTGTGGTTTTCCGACTGGCACTCAGTAGTGGTGCCTCACCTCCCATACGGACTTTGTGCTTGCGTCGCAACACCTACTTATATATCCAGTCCTGTGAAGAACCCGTCCACCTTCTTCGCCTGACACACCATCCTTTGCATCCGCAAATCTTTACTCTCTGTCGGGTATTCTCGATTCTTGTTGATCACAACGAGCCTCCGAACCGACCTCAGCTCTCGGCGCCGTCTTTGGTGACAGAGAATTCACCAACGCAATAAATCGTCTACAACCGTTGGAAAAAGCGGACAAGCAAGTCATCCTATTGACATTCTAATCTATCACTTTGCTGAACAAACAGCCTTCGAATCCACCACGTTCGAAAACCGCTGGTACAAGCTGAACTACAATGGAAGTGTCGTCCAGTTTTTCATCTCGACGCTCAGCGGCAGGCTCATTACCACCATTTTCTCTGCCACCGCCAAATGAAGTTCCCAGTATGGCTCTATTCACTCACCGTCCCTCGTCCCCGTTTGGTTTTTTCCCGTCCAGCCCTCTGACCTCCTCTCCAGGAGCTAGCGATGGTCTCAGCCCAGGCTTGTCTAGCGTAAATACCGCCAGCTCTCAAGGCTCTCAAGCACACGGAAACATGCAGTATACGTATAGCGCCAACGTCCACGGCACATGGCCTACGCCAGGCACCTCGAACTACAGCGTTGGCGGCACTTCGCCAGATCAATCCTACGGCGGCCATCGCTCGTCAATCTATGGTCAGCCGCCTACGATGGGTTTTGGAAATCCACGCAGTTCACAGTCTCCTGCTACCGGGGGTGAAGGTCTTCCGCCGCCTCCCTTCAACAATGTTCATCAGCCATTTCAAACGTCGATTTCTGGAGGGGGCGGAAGCGGTGGCCAGGACAGCCACCACATCTCCGGCCAGGCGCCACCACAGGGCGCCATGTTGAGCTCAACTCAACCTCACGCGGCGGGAAGTGCTCCAGCTCCCGTGGACCCTTATTCTCACTCCAGACCACCCAGCAACCCGAGCTACTACCCTGCTTCGTCTGCGACGCAGCAGGCGAGCTTCTCATCGTATGCTGGGCCTCAGCAGCCATCTCCAACGGGTACCAGCCCCGGATCTCGGGGCCTGGGTCACTCAGCCATGGCGCCCCCTTACCGACCATATGGCTCTTATCAACCACTGACCACGATGAATGGCCCTGTCATGTCCAACATTCACCAACCCGGATCACAGTTATCCATGATTCCTGCCATGGGCGTGCCACCTGGCTACAATCACCAGATGATGTATGGTCACCATCCTCAGCCTCAACCACAGTCTGAGCGTCCGTTCAAGTGCGATCAGTGCACGCAGTCCTTTAGTAGAAACCATGACTTGAAGAGGCATAAGAGAATCCACTTGGCCGTCAAGCCTTTCCCATGCTCGTTCTGCAGCAAGAGCTTCTCTCGCAAGGACGCGCTCAAGGTTAGTGGTCCACCCCCTTCCGCAGCTTGCCGTGTGTGACCCGTGTGCAACACGGCCATGGAACCGTACTGACCGTGTGTTGCACCTACAGAGACACCGACTCGTCAAGGGTTGTGAAAACAAGAGCAACGAGGCGGCTGCTGCTGATGATGCTGCCGCCCAAGAGCGAGCGGGTGAAGGCGACGACGACCGATCCTCGCTGGGCAAGGAGGTTTAACATTCAGGTTGGACTGTTTATGTGCATGGTGTGTGATGGGTTCTCGGAGTAGGGTGTAACCAGATTTTTGTCTTGAAAGCACGGCGAATGGACGGTTTAAAGACGGCAAGGGAGCAGAAATTATCATGGGAAACTGGGGTTACCGGCGTCTTCGGAACTTTGTTTTGAAATTCCCCCCAGGAACGGCAGCACCGGGGTGTAATGTCTACATGGACCGGGCGGCACTACAGGAGCCCGCGCAATGGCCGAGCCCTAGGTACGGACGTACAGTATCAGGTTTACGGACCGAGATTGGGCAATGAAAGGCTTCATGTGTTGAAGGATGGTTTATTTTTTGTTGTTGGCTCTGGTATATCAACCGGGTGTTTTCTGCAAAGTGAGAATCAAAGCATCTCTACCAACGTGGATAGGGAGATGATTTTTTTTCCCGGCTCTTTTTGCTACAGGAAAACGGAAAAAAGACGTGGCGGCAACGCGAGCCTCACATGGTCTGGTCTACCACTCTTCATCCTCGTTGGCTTTTTGGTTAAAAACAAAAAACGAGGGGGGAAAGAAGAGGGAGACAGAGACGTGAGAGGAGAGGCCTAGGGCTGGTTTTCTGAGAGTTGTGTAACTAAGAGTCGGGAATTGACTGAAGTCTACACAGTCTCTCGGAACAGACTAGGCCTGTGTATCTATGTATTGTGTGCTCACGCAAATACTTCTTTGTACATTGCTTTTTGGACCGGGTTTGGGCAACTTTTCGGATAGTGACATGACTTTTTCTGTCTTGTTTTCTTTTTGATGCTTTCTTTTGGGTTTGCTGTTTTTTTTTTGGTGTTGGTCCTAGTTTGTATGGTTAGGGACGGGAATAAGTAGTACCTCCCTCTGGCTACCAGAGGAGCCAAAGTATTTTTTTTTCTTCACACGATAATGTGGACTCGGTCAAAGGGTGCATGTGAATGTGTCTTGGATGTAGTTGCCGGGGGACGTGAGGACTTGGGGGACTTGGGGAACCAGGGGAACCGGGGACCTAGGTGACTTGGGGCCAGTTTTTGTTTCGTCTGGTTGGGAACAAAGACACATCTCGGGGACCGGGGTCCGGCCCAACCCAGAGGAATGGATGAAGAAAATCGCCATGTGATCAGGGTGCTCGGTAAGGAAGGGAGCTTGCTTTTTGCGCAGGAACATGTTGTTTAGTGTTTTGTTTTTTTCATTCTTCATTCTTGTCTTGTGGCCACGCGAGCAACTGGGCCAAGACCCAATGCCCAAAGGCCCAAGACGGACTTGGGTGCGGCAGGGTTTCCATGTAATGTGTCATGTGCCTTGTTTTGGAAAGGCAACGATGGGTTTTGGTTCAACGCTGGCATTCATTGTACGGAGTACGTGTGGGCGTATGGACAGCTCTTTGGGATAGGGAGTTGGCAGTGGGTGATTTGGGAGGGTGGTTGTTTCCGTGATTCTCGTTCTTTTTGGGAGTTTGCTGCTGCAAGACGTGGTTGTGCAAGGTGTGCAAGTCGGGCTGGTGGGTGTGGTCAGTGGCCGTCTATCTGCCGCTGGGAGGCGCGTGCATATGTATGTATGTATGTATGTGTGCCGACTGGATGGATGGGGCGGCGGCGATCTGTGCTGGTAGGAGGCACGCGGGGCCGTGAAGAATACAACAATGGACCAGAGAGTTGTGAGGAGTTTTATTTTGCCGAGAGATTGTTGGGTGTGGGCGCGGCTATTTGAAGATGAGTGGTTTTCTTGTCTTTTTTCTTCTCTTCTCGACCTGCCTGGGTTTACTACCTGCTATGCGAGTACAAGATGTCAAAGTCAAGTTGGTGAGTCAGCAGGATGGACGACCGCCTGTACAGTACGGAGTAGGCAAAGGGCCAAGGCCAAGCATTGGCTAAACTCTAACTTAATCGCGGTCGACCCCCCCCCTCCTTCTTGGCCAGAGCCAGGCCCCACTCTTGTCCGGGGCGCGGAGAGGGTCAATCCGGGGTTTTTTCTTGGTTTTTTTACCACTTTGTAATTTTTCTGATCTTGGCTGGCCCCCCGGTTTTTCCTCTCTTGGGCACGCCAAGCCCAGGTATTTATGCGGCGCGGAGAGAGTGGCATTGCTTGTGGGCCGGGCTGGGTGGCAGCCAGGACGTGCGGTAGGATTTTGAGATGGGCGAGATTCCTGTCGAGGGGTACATACATACATGCCGGAGGCGGCCGTGGTCGAGCTTGTGTGGCCTTTGTTGTGCTGTGCGACGGCAAGCTCTGCATTTTGGGGACGTCTACTCCGTGTACGGCTTTGGGGGATTGGCGCGAGTGGAACGGCGTGGCGTTCCGGAGCTGATGTATTGCGAGACTGGTTGTTGTAAAACAGGGTTTATAGCAGAAAGGTCTAGTTGAATTGATTAGAGGTGTAGGTTCTTTCTGTAATGGTATAGCCCTGAAAACAGTATATACCTTATCTTGGAAATTTAACTAGATGAAGAATTATATTATTTTAGTGGCCTCTATTTAGCAATATACTTAAAAAACCCTTTGCTAAACCTTGTAACTAGTAGTAGAGAGAACATATATATAATGAAGCACCATTTTTATAATATAGTAGCTACAAGTCTGCTTCTATAATTTAACCTTGTGGCTTAAAATCTTATTAACCCAAACCCTAAAGCCTAATTATGGGAGTAAATATAATATAGTAGATTTAATACAATAAAAAGGGGCTCCGAGTCACGTGACTTATAAGGGATCTCCTGCAAGTCACGCGATCCCTATTATTAGCCATGTAGGTTAGGGCTGCCAAGAGTCGCCTTCTAATATAATTACCGGAAAAGTAGGTTAGTTATAAGACAAATATAATTCGAACCGTTTAACTACAGCGGCCCGTACTAAATATTAGTATAAAACGTATTATTTTAGCTAGAAAACAAGTATTTTAAAAAAAAGTAAAAAATACCAAGACTGGGGTTCGAACCCAGGCATCTTTCGATAGTAGAGATTATGCCAAAAAACACTTAAATCTACCGCCTTAAACCACTCGGCCATCTTGGTTGATTGTCATTTTTCTCTTAATTTGCATTATCAAGGGTTCACAATTCGCACCTAGTCAAGTCGACTTCTTGGCACTTGGTGGAACCGCGTTGAACGTAAAGGCAAAGGTGGGGCTAGGTTGGCTGTTAAGATGCTTTATAAGGCCTTGTTATTAAATTAAGAAGCTAAATTAATTAGTACTTTATAGAAATAGACCATCTCCTTTAGCGCCGTGTGCTGGGAAATGCACATGTCCCCCATTTTGTCTTTTTATGCTGTCCAGGCATTCATGTTTCTTTTGATGCCACGGCCTTTTCGCGGACCCTCGGCCTGATGGTTTCGTGAGGCTTGACCCGATGACGATGGCCTCAATGTTCTGAAAGACGGACCAGCTCCTTCGCCAGCACATGTCGTCCGTCACGACTTTCCCGAGTCCTTCTGTCCTTGTTCAGAGAGGTTATGTAGTCTTGATCCGTGGTGGCATCCATCTGTTTTGGCGTGGGACAGGGCCAGACAGAGGTCAAGACGGGGGTTGCGGGACGAGAAGCCATGGAAGCTTTCAATTTTGTCTTCTTGTTCCCTGCGCACGGGCAAATTCTCGTTGTTGTTGCTGCTGCTGCTACTGTCATAATGTCTTCCCCGTGCGCCGGCTGCGAGTTGCGACGACGACGACGACGACAAGACCAGACTCTGCAGCTTCATCGTCCCAACCGGGCTAGTGCCAGCACTTGACCGAGCTGAAAGGCGCCCATCGCAATCCCACGCTGCACAATCCCGGCCTGTCGTCTTCCCGCAGCGTGTGTATGCCCCTTGGCAAGCGCCACCATGCCGTGTGACCGCACTTGCCCGTCCAGAAAAAAAAGTCGCGACAACATTTCAAGTTTCATCAATCTCGTGCTTCCCCGTGTTTTGATTCTCTCAACTGCGGCGGGCGTGCCAGAGGTGAACCGACGAAATCTCTATCCTGGCGCAGACGAGCGACCCAATGCGTCCATCTGGTCTTTTTCGCCTTTTGTCCCTCGGCCTCGCGGCGTCGGCGCACCGTCCGCCGCCGACCGCGCGCCCCGGGGCCCTCATGCACTGTGCCTTGAGGGGAACTCGGTGAGCAAGGATCGCATCGTGGTCGCGTCCACGTCCTTGTCCGTCGGTACTGCAACTACATGCGTGCTCGACGGGGGGAGGGAGGGGCCGGGGGTGTGTGTCTGCCGAGCCCATCTGGTGCCCCGGCTAAACATACTCGGTGCTTTTATATCGTCACTCTCAAACGACATTTTCCAAAAAATAAACAGCTCTCTCGTCTCGTAGCAGCAATTGGAAATATACACCGAATTCGAAGAAATAAACAACAGTTCAATCTCCAGTTCCTTCTTGCTCGTCTCGGCGCCTGCTGCCGCCCTGCGCAGAAACACCCCCTTTTGCATATATGTCCCTTGGGGATTTGCCCTCGGCGCCCCCAAGTCCAAATAGGCTCGTTCCGCTCCCGACGACGCGGCTACTTGCATCCATCCATTCCATCTTCCTTCGGATGTACTCGGCAAGGATACGCCACGGACCGAGTCGCCATGTACACACGGAGGACGGCGTACGTGTACCGCGTAGGGTTCGTCCACCCTCACCCTCACCCTCACCCTCGCACACGTGTCCATGACACAAGGAGCGGATCGTAATTTTTCTTAAATACAGAGGTGCTACAGCAGTCGCTTTGTTGGGCACGACTGCCTTGCCCCCTTTTATTCACGGAGCACGGAGTCCTTGCGTTTCTGTTCTTATTTTAGACGTGCTTGGGAAACGGGCCGCCCCGGATGCCCGCAGCGTCAGTGACCGAGGCGCGCGTTCTTGTCTGCTGTCGATGATACGACGGGCCAGCAGACGGTTTGAGCGCTTCTATGTGTCTTGGTTTTCCTCCTTGGGGGGGCGTTTCGCGGACAGGCGCAACGGCAGGAGTTCATCACGGTGGACTGCTATGCGCGAAGAAACAGAAGGGAACAAGGGCCGTCTTTGTTCTT